AAGTAGAGGGCCAGGTGCCCAGCAGCACCTCCTCTTAGTCATAAAAACTCGAGAAAGGAGACAGCCATGGTTCCACAGGGTACATTTATTGCTTTTAATTTAGTCAGAGAACAACCGTTGAAGTCACACAGTTCATGTTCCTACCCGCAAAGCGCTCAAGTTACCCTCCTTTGAGTTCCCCCTCACAGTCCAGCGCGGGAGGAGCAGAGGACCAGAGCTCTCAGTCAGAATACCCAAAACCCACTGGACCCAGCCACAGGCCTCCCCAGACAGGCGGCAGGGAAGGCCCCACCATTTCTAGGACACAACCGCACGCTCAGTGCTAGCAGCCACATCTGCTCCACCCAGGATTTCACACCATGTTCTAGCCCCTGCAGGGATCCAAGTAACAGCAAGTGACACCTGCTTGCAGCACAGGCACCAGGTAGAAGTCAAGAGGGCAACAGCACTGGAGTTGGTCTCTGCAGCTAGCATCTGCAGGAGCTCCCTCTACAAGAAGGTGAAGTTAAAGCAAGAGGTCACCTCCCCTTCCCAAAAGCCTCAACAACTGCACTGGCTCAGCTGGGTTCTGGCTGTACCCTGCTTGGTCAGGGCATGAGGGAGCTGCTGGGAGCATTGGGCCATGCTCTGCGCTGGGGGATAACAATGAATGCACTCCCAGCTGTAGTGTATTTCACAGGGGTTGGGACTTGAAAGACAGTTGTGCAGACTGATTCAGAGGAAGGTGGCATCTGAGCAGCTCAGACTAATGGCCTGTTGCTGGCCCCATCTTAGCTTCAGACACATCCTGCTGCAGAGCAGAGCTTGGCTGTAGTGTTTCCAAATGGCTCTGAGGTATTTGCAGGGGGTGTGAAAAGACACTAGAGTTACCCACAGGTGGCCACTGCAATAGAGGTGCTCCAGTTCCTGGAGCTTCTCCTCCACAAGGAGCCAAGTTCCCAGCCTGGGGGCAGCTCTGGAGCATGGGTGGAAGCAAGGCAGCCGGGCAGAGATGCACTCTCCATTGTAGTGAATTCAACAGGTCTCCTATGCAGTGGTCCAGGGTGGGGGCCTGCCAGGGCCTAGTCCAAAAACACAGTTCCTAACAAAGGAGGCTTCCTACAGCAACTCCCTTCCTGGCAGAGAGGCCAGGATGATTTCACAGCTTACAGTCACGTGTCAAGTTCAATCCACCACAGCAATGAGGATAGTGGGGCCTGGAGCATGTGTGGAGCAACCTCCTCAGCGCGGCTGGCAGGACATGGTCCCTTACACTTCCAAGACGTGTCATCAATCCGCTGCAAACCCAGAGGCCGAGGAGAGGGAGCACACAGGTGTCACAAGGGAGGCGATGCAGCAAGCATGTGACATGGTGCCCTTGAATGCCCTGGAAGTGGCTGAAGTGCCTCTCCCTACCTGCTGCTCGCACAGGGGCCAGTGGAAGTAGCACCCACAGCAGGACAGGTTGCCTAGGTGCTGTTTGCTGGCAGCTTGCCACGGCTCAGCCCATACTGCACATTCACATTGTGGTCCAGCTCCTCCAGCTCAGATGGGAGAGGGATGCCCAGCTCCCCCAGGTACAGTGAGAGGGCTTCAAAGGAATCCTCCAGCTTTGAAAATGGGGGCCTGGGAATAAGAGCAACAGCACACATGAGTGGGCAGCAACACCAGGGCTGGTCCAGTGGGATGGGAACGCTGCATGCAGAGAAGCACCTCCCCAGGTCCAAGCCCACATGGACAGGGAAACAGGCCAGCACCCCCTGCCAATACTAGCTCCAGCACAGGGGGCATGAGAGTGCCCTCCCTCTATGGCTATCCTGAGGTATGGCACTTGAACAGAGCTACGTCCACCCATGCCAACCCACAGCTCACCTGCTCTCCGGTTCCAGTCGGCAGCAAATGGCAGCCAGCGGGAAGAAGGCTGGGGGGCAGTCAGCAGGGACAAACTTCTCCCAAAAGAGCTTGACGTTGAGGCCGAAATCCAGTGTGCGAGGGAGGCAGTCGGGGTCAGCATACACCTGCCCTATGATCTAGGGAGAGAAGGAAGCCACTTATACTCTCTGGTGCTGCCAAGAGGGTAGTAGACCCCATTAGTGACCAGCAACAAGAGGGTGAGCTAGGATGGCACCAGCACCTGCCCTAGAATAGAGCCGCTTACCTGATAGAGCAAGCAGAGCATCCACAGCAACCCAAGGACCACACCCACCCCAAAGTGCCAGCTGAGCCTGGCAGTACATCTCCTATGGGAGGGGAAGGGCAGGCCAAGCCCACTTCCTCCCTAGGGGATTGCTGCCAGCAAGGACAGGACAGGCTCAATGCCCTAGCACAGGCAGGCAAATAGCAGTGCATACATGCTGTCCTCAATGATTAAATCCCCATACCCATGGGGGAATGACCTCCTCTTCAGCTATTTGTCAGGCTGCCACAAGCCCCTCTACCCCACCCAGCTCAAAGGTTGAGAGGAGAGGTCACTGCAAAGCCCTACTTGTCCCAGAATACCTGGCAGGAGCAAGCACCCCCAGCTCCAGGGTCTCCCTGCTGTGGGCAAGTTAAAATCGCAACAAAGAGAGAGAGGGAAGAGGAATCTCAGCTCTCAGGAGATCTTTGCACTAAAGCAAGCCAGCTAGTCCCATCGCCTCTCCAGCTCTGGCTCCCAAGCACAGGGAGGGAGCTCTACCACTGGACCAAGGGATTATGGCAGAGACCCCCTCATCCCTCTGTCTATGGAGAGTGAGGAGATGGGGGAGGCAGGAAAAACTCCAAGTTCTGGTCCCAGTTCCAGTGCAGTTGTGCCAGGAGCCCCAGGCTCAGCCACACAGAGCTGCCTCCCCTAATGCCTGGGGCAGAAAAGACAGAACAGGAACAGGACAGGCTGCAGGAACAAACAGCTTTCAATAACACCCCACGAGACCGGCTCTGCACAGCCTGGCCTTACCTCACAGAGAACAATCCCAAAGGAGAAAATGTCCACCGTCTCATCATAACTCTGCCCTGCAGGAGACAACACAGGAGACCTTGTGAGTTGGCACTCCCAGGGACAGGCAATCTGCCTGGCACCCACAGCATACCAGCCCAGGCCCTGATCAGCAAAACACAAATTAGTGCTCTGGGCAGAGACAGCCAGGCCAGCGAGGGGTCCGAGGTGCTCAGTGCAGCTGTTCTTTCTATGAAGGTAGCACCCTTCTCTTTCAGCAGCACCCCGGTGAGGATGGAAGGGAGACTGCCCTGCCCACAGATACACTCAAGGGATGTTCTGCAGAGCTAAGCCCTCATCCCCGCTAGGGTGGGCAAGATGGAAGAAAGGAGCCTCCATGCCAACAAGGGGGTCCTAGTCTACCAGAGCAGCCATCAGTCTGCCCATCATCAATGGGAGCTGTTCTTAATTTCAGACAACAAACTCACTTATTAGCGCCCAGCCTTCTGGAAGCCACTGCAGGAGGTGGGGAGCATCCACCACTGGGCAGAGGGAGGCCACTTCCTGGAGGATTCCAGGCAGCAGAGTTAGCCAGCAAAAGGTGCAGTGTCTCTGTGGCAATTTCTGTGACACACTAGATAGCCAAGAGGCAGAGCTGCATTTCTAGGGCACTTGAATCCATCCTCAATGGCCAAGGACCTACAACTAACATATAGTGGCTGCATGGTGGCTTTGATTATGACAAGAGCCATCTCCATAACTGGCATCTTACTGGCCTTGGGCAGACAGGGTGGGAATGGGATGAACCTTGGAACCTGAACTACCCTCCTACCAAGCAGATGGGACAGGATGCACAGAGAGCTGGAATGAAAGCTTCCACTACCATAGCTGTTCTGTGCCTGCCTAGCTCTTCACCACCATAGGTGCCCACCTTGCATCTTCCGTGTATTTCAAGAAGGTCTGTGATACAGCCTGCTTCCAGAGGTGCTTGGGGGAAGGGACACCCTGATTCAGCAAGAAGCAAGCAGCTATTAGCATCAGCCCTGGTGAGCTGTTGCCCATGCACATCAATCATCAGTCACTGACTAAGAGCTGTCTGCAGAGGAAGCTGAATGCCCAGTTCTGCAGCACTGATTGCAAAGGCACTAAATTCTGCAGACAGCAATGCTTCGAGGCAGAGAAAGCAGGTCTCAGCCAACAGCAGTCAGCAGGCTGGTGAAAGCAGCCTGCATATTGCGGGGCTTCTGCCTCCCCAGCCAAGCCTGGCATTATGGCAGGGCCCAGCCCCCCTCTGTGAAGGAAGCAGCCCTGCCTCCCCTCAGGATGCAGTATCAGGATAATCTCTACTGTGCTTCATGGGCCATCATTCTCTTGGCAGGTGCCAAGTACATGCAAGTTAGCATGCCAGCATCTCCTCTTCTGCCTCACTAAAGTGGTTAAGGATTTGCCCTGCTCCAAAAGGTCCCTACCACATAGGCCTCAGGGGAGGAGCAGGGACACAGATAAGGTGGCACCAAGCAGACAAAAAATAGAATGAGGATGGGGGAGAAGAGGCAAGGCTGTAACCCAGAGCAGTTCCTTTCCCAGGGCACCAGAATGGCTGCTGTCAAAGGGAATCAAGGCATATTGCCTGGAGCATAAGTAGTTCCCCGTTTTCCCTTGCTGGGCTTTAAGGGCTGGTTGTCTTCCTGCTGTGACCTTGTCATAAGCTGGCCCAGTTCCCTAGAGAAGTTTGAGATGACTATGTTCCTCCAGGTCCTGCATGGGCAGACCATCCCATCAGGAATCCATGTCTACTCTTAACACATGTCAAGCCTCTGTGCCAAAGATCTGCCCTCAGCCAGTTATTCCCCTCCTCACCCTGAGGCCTGGGAGAACCCAGTCACAGGTGGCTGCCCCTCATGTCCCCTCTGGGCCTGTCTAACAAGCTAGAGGACAGCTCTGACCTACAGACCTGCTTGCTGTGACTACGAAGTTCACTACATCATGATCAGAACAGAGACACACCAGCATATTTGATCCAACTAAGGTCAGATCCCATTCTCTAAGTCTCTATTGCTGTCACCAAAATCTGGAATTGGGGCAACTTTAGTACCACTGCCTTTGCCAGCCAGCAGGGAGCTGTACCTCACTGCTGCCAGGAGCATGGGAGGCAACAGGAGCTCAGCAGGACTGAGACACAAAGCACAGGTGGGCCAGCATATCTGCATGTTTGAAATCAGCTCACTCCTCAGCAGATCTGAGGCTCCAGGCAGCTAACAATTTAAAGTACAGTCAACAGCCAGAACTTCTGCTATTCCTATAAACTCTACCTCATGCCTGGAGTGACCCAGCACCTGCTCCAGCAGGGGCAGCTTACCATTCAGCATCTCTGGGGCCATCCAGTACGGATTCCCCACCACAGTGTAGCGCTTCTTCCTGTCGCTCTTGCGCAGGGTGCGTTTCTTGGCTGATGGCTTCTCCAAGGTGGGTTTCTTCCTCTCTTCCACAATCAGCCGAGAGAGACCAAAGTCAGCAACCACAACGGTCTTGTCCTACCCAAGGGATTTAATCACATGTAACTGAGTGCTCTCAGCTCTTCTCCGGAGTGGCCCATTAGCAAAGTGCCACGAAACACAATACTTGTAGACTGCACATGAGAGCACTGCAAGAGCCGTATCTGTGAGGAAGACTCCTTCAGCTAATTGGTTGAGTGGAGTAAACAAGGGAACCTGCTGACAGAAGTGGGAAAAAGAAGGGAGAGGGGACCCAGTGGACAAGGAAGGAAGAGTCCAACAAGCAGGCAAGGGAGTTATCTAACTGGTCATTTAAACCTGATCACAGTTGCTAACACATTTGGCTTTTTCCATCCAGTTTGTCTCATTCTAGCCAGGAGTCTTTCCCGGGAAACTCACTCTGCCCAGATCTGATTGTGGGGTTTGAAGCCACGAAGCTCAGCCAATACTCTGGCTACGTGAACACACAGACAGGACTGAAGACACAAAACTCATAGGTGAGATTCCATGGATACAGTACTATGCAGAGAGTGCCCCTATGGATCTCAGATGGTAGTGAACACGGTGCACTGTAGAATCAAAGGAACAGCAGCAACTGCAGAGTGCAAGGTTTGAACAGCTCTGGAGCAGTACAGGGTGGAGAAGCAGAGGGAAACAATTCATCAGGGGTGGGATGGAGGAAAAGGTGAAAGCAAGATAAGCAAACTGTACAACAGTCCTTCCCAGGCTTATGTCCCAGCCAGACTGCCTGAGACATGAGCCCAGGCAAACAGAAATGCTATACAACTGCATAAGGGATAGTCCTGGACTTGTGGGGAGAGGGAAAGATGTATAGTTGCTGCAGAAAGCTAAGCATAACATGGAAGAAGTCAGAGAGAGGATAGGAGACAGGGGACCAGACTCCAGGGCACAACTCACCAGTTTGATCAGGCAGTTATGAGAGTTCAGGTCTCTGTGAATGATGCACATAGAGTGCAAGTAGGCCTGAAACAGAGGAAAGAGAATGGCATTAGCAGGTCTCCCATGAACACAGCCCTTGGGACTTAAGGGCTGTGTTCATGTGTATCGTACACCTCTGCCTATTGTAAAGCTTCTTCAGCCCATTACAGATTGCACTGTCACATCTGTTAGTCCTAACCCCTGGCAGTTTGCTTCTCTCCCAATCAAAGGGTTCTGGCTCACCATTCCTGAGGCAATTCCTTTGGCAAAGCTGACCTTCTGCTGCCAGGGAAATGGGTCCTGCAAGACAAGGAACCTTCAATGGTCACATCAGCCAGGTGGTGCCAGCCTTTTAGGGAGACTAAACATCTGGGGAACATAACACAGCCCTGCAGAGTGAGGTACTTTCTCCAAGGACCAGTTAGAGGAGGGACAGCTTCCCCCTGCTTTAGGGGAACTGGCTTCCAAGGGGAGACGGAGAGACCAAGGCCTGAACTGCTGAGCTCCCGCAGGACAGTCCATCTGAATTCAGTGCTGTGCAGGCAGTGTTACACCCTGGCTGGAGATCTGCCAGGACACCCAGGAAGGCACTCACCGCATTGCGGAGAAAGTCTTTCAGTGTCCCGCCATCAATGTACTCGGTGAGGAGGTTCAACTTCTTGTCCTTGTACAGCACGCCAATGAATTTCAGGACATTGGGGTGATCCAGGCTGCGCATCACTTTCACCTGTGCAGGCACAAACACCCCAGCCTGAGACCAAGTGGGCCCAACTAAAGTTCTGTATCCTCACCTTGGGGGAAGGGGAATTGTTCCATTCTAGGAGTTGCTGGCAAAACATTACACTTCCACCAAGCCCAGCCTCGAGGTATTGGATCCCCTCCTGCCCCTTCAATCTTTTAGCAAACTGGCCCAATCCCAATATTCCAGGAGAGCACACCAAGCCCTGGTTACAGCATAAGGGACAGGACTTCTACGGTACAGCTAGTATGTGCTTGTAGCTGGAAGGGAAGCATTAGGATGAACTGGAGGCTGCCTTTAGAACATGGAACACAGGATTGGAAGGGACCTCCCAGACTCTGCTGCCCTGTCCCTTGCATTTACAAACAAAGTCTGACTTTGGAAATTTGGCAAGCAGGCACCAAGGGAACAGGTCAAGAATGCCTCTCGCATGTATTATAAACTGCACACCACTCAGGTCTGAGCCTCCCATTAATATTTCTGTTCCACAACACTAGCTGTAAAACCTTGGGGGACAAGGCCAGTACACCTACATTAAAACACTGCCCAGCCTATTAGGCTAAAAGTGCCTTTTAGCATGAAAAATTAATGAACTGGGAGTCTAATCTATGTCTGCTTTTATTTTAAATTAGTCATATTTAATGGTGGCAAGCATCTGGCCAGATGTGTTCTCCCTCTCACATGATCTTTCCCCTTAGCAGTCCTGGTGCCTGCAGGATTACCAACATGTTACTCCAGGATCAGGATGCCAGTGGGAGCAGGGAGGTGGGCAACCAACCCGGTGGGAAGCACTGGCTCGGTTGTCCTCGCTCAAGACCTTGCTCCTACCTCCGTCAAAAAAGTCTTCTGTGTTTCCTCATCACAGCGAATCAGCTCCTTCATCACCATCACCTTCCCTGTTGCTTTGTGAGTCACCTGTTGGGAGACAGATACTGTTTCTGCAGGAAAAAGACTAGGGATTGTGGAGATCTGATGCTTTCATAAACAGCTTCCCAAACCACTGGGGCACAAGGGTATAGGACGGAAGTGGGGAGATGGAGAGAAGAGGCCATTCAGGCAGGATCCAAGGAGTTATGGGAACTGCTCTGAAAACAAAAGGTTTGCCATAAAAATAAAATAAAATAAAAGGATTCCAGAAGTGATAAATGGGTACAAACACAACTCGGGGCCTGTCTAAGGGCTATGCCATATGGCCACCTAAAAACCTCAGTAGGTGATCCTCTTCAACCAGCGCAGAATGTGGCTGTGCTCAGGAGGATGCTACAGCCTCAGCTACTAGCATTAGCTCTGCACTCCTACGTGCCTGGAATTTTCATGCAAGACTGCACAGACACCATTAAGCATGTATACAGCATGACATACAAGGCCTATCAGCTTTACACTGTACTAGCAACGTTCCCAGTGACACTCTGTGAGGCAGGCTGAGCAGCTAAGCAATTCATCCCAAGTTCCCCAGATTCCTTGATGCCTTCTGGTTTCTGCTCAATGTGTCGAAGACTTGCTCTTTTGCCAGGCTGTGCTGGGAGGCACAGGCTGTTTAGTTCAGAGAAGCGGTGATCAAGTTCCCATACTGCAGTCTGCCATGAGGTTCCCAAAGCACTGGCAGGCAAGATGCATCTACAAGTCTCATGGCCTCACAGGGTGATATCACCAGGCCCTTAAGTGCCCAAAAAGTGTGCCAGGCACTTCCTAAGAGCCACCAGCCCCACCCAATATTTCATGGCTGTATTGCACTGCATTATCCAGCCTCAAACTCAAGAATGGCAGATCTCCAAGGTAAAATACCATCCCAACTCTGAAGAATCACAGGGCAAGTTACAGAATCACAGGGCAGACCTTCTCCCCTTGTTGGCTCAGTCAGCAATTCAGCTTAGGTTGGGGTGCTTGGCCCGCAGAGCCATGCCATCCAGCCTACAGAGTTCCCCACAGGTCTGAGAATTTGGTAGCAGGGAGCAGTAAAAGCATTTGCTAGAAGTGGCATGTGAGGCAATCCTGCAGCACAGAGGTGAAGGTAGCACAGGCCTCAGTCTGACAGTGGAGGGCAGCACAGGGCCTGGTGCTGGCATGCTAACCCCAGTCAGGCCCATGCCAAACATCCAGCTCATGCCACCAAAAAGTTGAGCACCACTTGTTTAGGTGGATCACTCGACTCTGCCAGGATCTCTGGACACCTCAACAACCATCTTCTCTCCAGAAGTAGAAGATAAATGTTCTGACCACGCACAGAGCAGCTGCTTCCATCCACAGAAGCTATGGATGGAAGTGAAGCAGGATTCTATGGAGCCCAGCTAACCTGTCTATGGGAGGGGGGAGCAAGCTCTGTTATAGGGGGGGTACGTAGCATGAAAATAATTTTGCTAGGGGAATTTGTGGAAAACTGCATTTTTTTCCCCTTAGTGGCATGGGGGGAAAGCCCCCTTGCATTTAGGCTTGGAATCAGTATGCTAGAAACCTCTCCCTGGTGCAAAACTGAAATGGGAACGAATGTCACTGCAGATGGGAAAGGGATACAATTAAAGGAAAACATGCAAGAGTAGGCAGGGTTTCCACAGGGCAGGGCAGGAGTGGGTTGAATACAGAGTCCCACACAGCCTCCCATCTGAAGCTTAAAAGAAACTATAGTTCTTGTGTTTCAGACTTTACACTGACTGTAAAATCCAGGAGAATCTCTCCAGACCTTTTACCTCAGCATCTAAGGAAACACAAGACCCACCTACAAGACTATTCTGCTGACCCAAAGGGCCAGAATAGAATTCTGCTGGTGAATCCACCACCCTCATTCAACCAAGATACTGTACAACTCAGTAGTGCTGACCCAGCCTTTGCAAAGCCCTGCAGCTTGCTTTAACCAGAAACTCAGAGTCAAGAGTTTGTAACTGCATTAGCTGCAGAAAACTTAAAAATGTCTAATCCCACTGCCCTCCTCTTATCAGTCAGGTTTCACATCATCAAGAATGACTATTTCACAGTCATCAGTTGTACAAAAGCAACCATTTCCCCAAGTTCAGTCTCAAAATATCTATTCACAAGACAGATGTACCCATCACATGGAGGGAACCGTCTTCATATGTTTGTGAAGTTTCACAGCAAGTCACTCCCGGAACTTTAAAACTATAAGTGTTCCTCTGGTCTTGGGGAGAGGAATTGTAAAACAAATGCCAGCCTGGAAAGGGACCACTGGCCCAGAGTTTGGAAAACCATGCTCTATTGGAAAGACCCCTGCGCACTTGCGTACTATATACAACCTTGAAGAATTTGACATTATTCTGCGCTAGGTTGAAAGCCCAAGACAGGGTGCCTAATACACACACATTGTCCCTTCCAATGCTCCCATCCTAAGTAAAGCATCCAAACATTAGCAGCATGTCAAGACACAACACACCTTCCAGCCAGAAGACATCAGAGAGGTCTAAAGCACACTGACAAGAGGTGAAGGGAAGCTATGTGGAATTCATAAGTTGCTGCATCAATTACACTAAATAAGATTAGTGCAATTATGGATCTCAATGAGGGGGTTTCTTCAGCGCATGCATCAAAATGGGACCACCATTAGCCAGTGGAGCAGAGGGAAAATGCCTCTGAGCTGTAACTCAGTGGAGATGCAGATGGCAAAACATGCTGCAGACAAAAACAGTTTTGCTTACCTGGCCTAATATTTGTCTATGAGCAGAGAAGAAGAAAGATATGCCCATTAGTACAGGTACCATATACCAAGGACTGAAAACAGTGTAGTCTAGGTTACAAAGCACTCCTATTCCCAACAAAGCACAGCAGATTACTACAGGAGTAGCAGAGTATATGAACTACTACATATGATGAAGCAGAGGAAGATGGTGCTTATCACTCCTTGACAGGTAAGCTGCCCAGATGTATCTTGCATTGAAGGAAATAACCAATATCAATAAAAAAAACAAATCCAAAAATGGATTTGGAAGTTGAGTGGGCATCTTTAGAAAGACAATGCATCATGCAATGATGAGGATTTCCCCCCCACCCCACTCCCCTCTCCCACTCCTCCTGCAGGTTTGACCCACACATGGGAGGGCTAACCAGATACAGCCACATGCAGTATACCAGGCTGATATACAAGCCAGGCTGCAGTTTCAGGGTGCAGAAAAACCCTCCAGCAAAGTCTAATCCATCTCTCACATTAGCTACATTCAAGTTAAGTGAATGAAAGAGAACAGAAGACTATGGGTATGCCAGAAGAGCTAGTTAAGTTCCAAGAACCAAAGCATGACAGAGAGGAGAGGAAAAAGTCACTTGGGATTTGCTGTGGTGTTTTCAGGTTTTTGTAAGCTACAGTCAAGCACAGGCCTCCAGGTTTGCCCCCCTTACCTTAATCGCTTGTCCAAAGAATCCTTTCCCCAGTACTTCACCATGAATCAAATCACAAGGCCGGAAAATCTGTTGGGAATAGCTGGAGGAGGAGCGCAGGGATTCAGAGCGACTGATGTCTCGGCTCAGAATGAGGGGCTCCTTCGGGGAGCTGGGACCAGGAGACTTAGAAATGCTGTTGCTTCTCCTGAGGAGTAAAGCAGACCAGAAGATCTGGGATGCTGCTGGGGAAGTTACTTACTCTAAACCCAGGGCAGTGGCAGCCATCAAGCTTTGCAGAACTGTGAAATCTCCTAAGCTGGAAGGTCCTGCAGCACATACCCACCCACACAGTTACCACCAGATATGGCCAGAGCAGCCTCAGTGCTGGGCTGCTTTCCCAGCCACACATCTGATAGTAAAGATTGTGCCTTCCACCTAATCAGTGGCACTACCTCAGATGAGAAGCTACTTCTAATTCCAAGTGAGGGCTCAGGTGTCAGGGAAAGACTCACCTAAACTGCAGTGTGCACAAGGTAAGGGCAGCAGAGTGGGGTTTACCCAGGCTGGGAAGGGAGGGTTTTCTAGAGCTGAAGTCTCAGGCCTCACTTAGCAGGGCACAGTCACGTCCCTCAGAAATTGGACCTTTCAGGCTTCTGTTTCTAAGAGGTCACAGTTTTTACAGCCCATCATTAAGCTTTTGTAATAACAAATCACTACTACTGCACCTGGCAGCCTGAAGGGGAAAGAACTGCAAAGGGAACCAGAGGGCCCATTGGCTGGAGCAACAGTTCCTATCACGATTGGACTTATTGCATCTCCAGGCACTTAGCCAAGCTCCAGAGTTGGCTAAACATGAGTAACTGAACAGGAACTATAAGCAGGGTGCTGCACCCCCAGGCTATTGAAGTGGGGCAGCTTCTAGAGGGCCTGGCACTCTGGCGCGAGAGGCACTAGCTAGGAGGCTATTCTCCCTGGGTTCGTACCTGAGGGAGCGCCGGCGCAGTGTTCCTTCGAGGTTCTCCTTGATATCCAGAGGGGAAATGGGACGAGGGGAAATGGGAGTTTTGATGTGGACTGGGAGCCGAGAGTCCAGCCGCAGTCTGTCCAGTCGCTGGGAGACAGGGTCGTGTTCGATCAGCAGCTGCAGAGTCTGGCTTGTCCTGCGGATCAGGGCCTCTACCTGCAACAAAAGCCAGGGGCACGGTGATAGCACAGGAGAAGGACTACTCCAAGCATGAAGCCAGACAGACACCCTCCACAGATTGCTTGAGTCAGGTCACTCCAGAGCTCTGGCTTACAAACATTCAGGCTCACAAGACAGCTCCTCACTATAGAGAGAGCCTCCACTGCTCTGATCAGCTGCAAGAAACCAAACTCTTTTTCTGCAATGCAGCCAAAAGCTGCACCTGAGATTCCATCCTGTCCATTGCTGGCAGACAGCTCAGAGACTGACAAAGCTACCCCAAGATCAGCATGCAGAGCCAACCACTGTCCACAAAGTGGGGAGGGAAAGGAGTGGTTCAAAGTCTCTGCTAATGCCAAAAGTGGACAAAATTCCCTTGTCTAGTGAACACAAGGGTGGTCTAACCATGCACTGACAGCATCTGGTTTGCCCTGCAAGCAATTCACTGGGAAAAGCATCTCAGCAAACCCAGACACCAAGCAAAAGATTATTAAGTTCTATATCTAACTATGACTGATCAGCAGTTCCTTAAAACCAGGTCTGCCTCATGATACATGCGAGCTGCCTGCATTTCAGTGGCTTGGTCAAGCACCCACCTCATCTCCAGGCTACCACCTTCCAGGTTCCTGACTGACACCAGCTTACTCTGAGCTTCTTTCAAACCACTGTCTCCCAGCTGCTATTTTCACCTTCACAGACTCTGGCTTCAAATGGATGGACAACAAAGGCTCTCGCAGGAAAGAGAAGGAAGAATGCTGAGGTAGAAAGTTGGACTCCAAACAAGACTCACCTCCTCTACTTGCAATGTGCGAATCGGGGCCCCATTGATTTCCAGGATCCGGTCCCCAGGATGTATGGCGTTTCGGACATTTGGGCTAATGTGCAGTCCATTGACTCTAAATGTAATGAAAATCATACTGGAAAACTCCTCAGACTAAACACTGATCATGAAAGATGAATAGAGCTCTGCTCCCCAAGAAGCTCTCTCTTCTTTAACTGGATTCAGACATGAAGTGACATTGATTTGTTGATGAATGTTAAGTTCCAATGACAATCGTTTTGTGGTGCTAGTGTCTAAGCTAGCGTAAAGAGGATCCTCTCTTCATGTACAAAGATGAGAGGGAAGTAAACAGCAGACTCGGGGAAAGTCATTAGCTTTTCTGATACCACAATAACCATCCTAAGCGCTTTTACAGACAGACAGTGGAGGACCCCAAATTGAGTGGTTACCTCCCAAGCTAGACAAAAGTGTACAAGATGACAAAACAGTGACCAGCCAACACACACACAGGCTGCTACGATCATGAGATTCTACCTTGGCAATTAAAGACCCTCAGGGAAGTTACAGAAGCTCCACTTTCCCTTGCTTGGCTCCCGCTGTACAGACATACAGGTGCCTAGCATAGCCACTATGGCCTCCTCATACTCACTCTTTCACCTGGACACTGGCAGCATAGCTGGAGCAACCCCCTTCGACAGACACTGAAAATCCTCTCTTTCCATCAGTGGCTGCAGGCATGGAGATGAGGGTCAGCGTGTATGGCAGCTGCTCACGCAGTGATTCTGTAGAGTGTTTCTCTATCATCGGTGCCAACACAATCTGGTTATGACACTTTCCACTAGGAAAAAAGCAAAGAGTCACTTTGGTCCATCTTATCCCTTCCCTGCATGCATGGGTCCTATTGCTCCCAAAAGATGAGAACTAAACTCTCATTCTCAGCAGCCATCAGTGGCCCCACGCAAAGTGTCTTTGGCCCTAGAAATGAGATTGCAAGTTCCCCTCTGGTAGTGGAGCCAAACTGAGCCACCAGGCAGAATGAAGGTGGCTTAGAGGTACAATAGACAATGGCATGCACAGTAGCATTCTGGCAGCGAAGTATGGAGCTTCACATGTCTCATCTTACCAGTAGAGAGTGGAGTGCTGCACCAGTGCATATGTGTCTCCATCTTCAATGATCACCTTGCAGCTCATGCAAGCAAAGCATTCTGGATGGTACTTGTATTCTCCAGCTACCTACATGGAGAAGCAAAGGAGGTCTGATCAAGCAGGGGTCCAGTTATAAGGAAATTGGGGAAGCTAGACTGTACCTACTGTTGATGTTACATTCACACAGAGTCCGAGACTAAGCAGTACCCTTATACTAGATAGGGGGCTGTCAGCCCTTCCCACGATTCCTGAGCCTCCTGCTCAGTGCCACGTTACAACACACTGGGCATATCTACATGAGATGCTTAATGCACAGTAGCCTAATAACACCATACAGTAGTGTGCCAGGAAAAAACTGTGCTAACACACTACTGTGCAGTAAACGTCACTAAAAACTCATGCACCAGCACTCCTGCACAGTAACTCTAGTTACTGCGCATTTAGTTAGTACTTCTTTAAGCAAGTACTAAATTAAAATGTTCAGTAATTACTACGCACTAATGAACTTGTAGATGTGCCCACTGTTTTGTAACCAGCAGGCCAGCATACAAAGTAGCAGGTGTGGTCTTTGCACTCGTGCAAATTTTGGCAACCGTCAGGCAACATTTTGGTACGAGAATGAGATTAAGCTACCGGCTGAGTTATTGTGCAAGGCTGACAAGTATATACCAGCCTGAACTGACAGATTTGCAAGATGGTTACCCCAACACATAAGATTCAGATATTTCTGCAGGCAGCAGCCAGAAAGCAGATGTGGGTCTTAGGGAATACTGTGCTTTAAAAAACAATAAAAAAACAAAACCAAAACCCAAAAATCCAAACCACATTGATTTGTTCATACTCCATGGCCTGAAGGACTTCCTGAGGGAGCTTGCCCTGTTGGTTTTATTTTGTCAACAGTTTTAATTAGTAGTGAGAATTTATCTGCATTATTTTCACTAGCAGATGCCACCTCTGCCCCTGGACTAGGGTTTGTTGGCCAGAACTGCTTTTATTCAGCCTCCACCTCAAGTACCTGTCATGTTTCATTCAGGACTGAGATGACTCAAACACACAAGTACAGTACAGTTTGGTAGAGCAATGCTGAGTTGTGTTTTGGGCATGCTAGTAGTGCTTCAACACTTCAGAAAGCCTGAGGGATTGCAGGGCTGCCATGAGCCACTAGAGGCCACAGGAAGACATTTAACCACTTGTTGGGCAATTTTGGAAATGTCTTGTCCAGGACTGAAATTTGACAGAAGGAAGCTCCCAAAAGGCAAAGAGCAAGACTACTACCCCACAGTTTGGTTTTGAGCTACAGGAGCAGAGTCCAAGACCCCAATGCTTTCACTTGAAGCACAACCTTGGAATCAGAGCATAAAGCACTTTTCCTCAGTTCCTTGCTTCACAGGCCTACGTTAAGACTAATCAGCGTCCCTTTGAGATGAAGAGCTACTGCACATTCTTAAACACCAGCTCTCAACGGCTCCCACCCAATTTTCTGTAGGCAGCAAGAACATGACTGACAGGAACTCCACAAGGGACTGGGAACAAAGAAGCCTGCAGAGGTCTTACCATTACCGGTCCAGTCATCAACAGAGAGCAGCCATGGCAGGATTCCCCAAATTTCCCCCAGTAGTCTTTGTGACAATACAGCTTCCCATCCTTCTCATAGTACCAGTTAGTGAGGGGGTCTTGACATTCGGAGCACCTGGAAGAAGAGGGACATGACTACAGCTGGCAGTCTCGTGAACTGCTGAGAGTAGCAAGTTTCCCTCCAACTGCCCCATAAAGGTTGCCCCAAAGAAAGGACACACTTCACCGTGTAGAAATCCTGCTCCCAATGCTCTGAGTAACAGTGCCGCTGCTCGTTATGTCTCGACTTAAAACGCATCTACTTTAAGATGGCACCTAGCTTCCCCACTTTGGCGACACCACAAACCTGTGGTCTGTGCTGCCTTTTTGTTAAAGAGGCTTAGCAACATGTCATTACTTGTACCCTGGTCAGTCCTAGCCGTAGGAGAATTATACCCCTTCGAGTCAGAGCTGCTGCCCCATGCCCCCCTGGTGGAACTGTGGGGGGCAAATCATGTGGCAGAATCTCCAACAAGCACAAGAGCAGCAGGATCTCTTTCCTGGAGCACTCCCACCGCAGAGGCAAATGAGGACCAGCTCTGCTCAGTACACTGGACCCACTCCTAAAGGGCTACTCCAGAACTATCCTTTCAGTAACTAGCTTTACAAGACCTTTTACCCTTTAACACTCATGTCCCTCCCTCCCAAGCTGTAGCTTTTCCTTCTACATTGGTAATGGACAACAAGGAAAGCAGGAGTCCTTATTTCCACAGGTCTCAAAGCAGTTCAGAGACTAGCCTTCAGCATATCAAGTACAGACCAAGTGACTTGTCCCAAAGGGGACCTGCAGCAGTCATGAATGGGTCCATCTCTGAGCCCCACACATGGTGCTAAGGACACTGCTGCTCTATCTTCATGTGGTGCATAGGCTGAGGGAGGGTTTGCCATGCAGTGGTACAGTTGCATCCAGCCATGAGGTCTCAATGGGACTCCACTGCTAGCATGGTCAGGCTGCTGAAAAATTCAAGCTGAATCCTTCCTCTAGCTCACAGCAGCACTGTCAGCCCCCACCAACCAGAGAAGCAAGACTGGCTCTGAGATGAGCCACCAGCTTGAAAATGTGGAACAATAGGTAGATCAGTGATGATTAACAAAGGTTCAAAGCATTACATTGACAATGACCTTGCCAACATGACTTGCCTTCCTAAGGCCCAAGAGGAGAGCAAAGGTGGCTTTAGCATTAGTAATGGGATACATTCTCATCTGGGCTGGTACTGACCAAAAAGCTACCCATGCTCCGCTTGTCATTTTAGCCAAATTTGCAAATGCTCCACAGCACAACA